TTGGCTTGTAGCCGTGTGCTGCATGCTCAGCAGCCCAACCCCACAACGTCATTTTGGCACTCCCTCCCCTCCGGAGGATAATACTGCCCGTCCGCAAATTCTCAATTCGAGGGCCCGAGTGCGGGCCTGCCCTCTAGTCTCATACGTTTGCTGCAACACCGAGATGCCCGCTGCCATCCACTGAATAACAACGGCCGGATCGCAGAAGGCCATAAGTTTTTCTCCGGGTAGAATGCGCCCCGCTGGGGTGACAGTGACACTTGACTGTCCCCTCTCCCTCTCCTCGTGCTGCCACCCCGTGTGTATCCTTGAGCGAACAGCCAAGTGGCGAGGTTATCAGGCTTCCCAGGGTGTTGTTTACTGCGAGGTCGCGTCCATCGCAAATCAGGGTTCGGGGGGCGCTCGACAACGTGGCACCGCTTGAGCCCCGACGGCCGTGCAAACAGGGCGAAACTTGGTGCCACCAAAAAACCTCCTCCTCCTCCTCCTCATCCTCCTCCTTCTCATCCTTCTCCTCCTCCTCCTCCTGCTCCTCCTCCTACGCTCCCCCTTCCTCAGGCCTCCATAGACCCGAGGTTCGACGAACGCACAATATCGTGCTGGAGGTTTGTCGCTTGATGTCGGCCTCACAACTTCCCCATTCGGGCCCTTGGGGTTATACCTATACGACCACCCTTCGGAATCGATCTCACTCAACGGGACACCACGGGACACTTGTCGATCTCACTATCGATCTCACTATCGATCTCACTCAACGGAACAACACGGGCCACCACGTGACACCGCGGGACACCTCTCGATCTCACTATCGGTCTCACTATCGATCTCACTATCGATCTCACTCAACGGGACAGCATAGAACACCACAGGACACCTCGGGACACCACATCGATCTCACCATCGATCTCACTATCGATCTTGCTCAACGGGACACCACGGGAGACCACGGGACACTTGTCGATCTCACTATCGATCTCACTCAACAGGACACCACAGGACACCACCGGGACACCGCGGGCCACCACGGGCCACCACGGGACACCGCCCGGCCCAACCGGCCACCGGCGGACGGGAACGGACTTTCGCTCCTACTTCGGCCTAGCTGCAAGAGGATCACGCGCAGCTTCGCCTCGCCCGCACGCACGACACGAACACGAAACCGAAACCGATTTCCCGGTGGGGGGTCTCCGTTTCACTGCGATCTCACCCCCCAACCTCCGATGAATACATCCAGGCTGAAAAACGAAGCACGATGGACCATGAGAAGGGTCTGTCGACAAATGTTGAGGAGAGGTTGGTCATAAACCAGGGTACAGAGGGAGATCGCCAAAGGCTTTTCCTCGAGTTCGGACTCCCGGGGGCCAATTTCAGGCCCCGAGTCCGTGCATAACCAGCCCTAAATGGAGGCCGTCCAACCTGGGGTAGGGTCGCGCCGCATCGGCGATGCCTCGGTGACATCGGTGATGCACCCGCGACGCCGGCGTGGACCAAGTCGGGCTCCACATCGTGCCCCATCGTCGATGCATGGGCGATGCGGCGCGATCCACAGACCCGATCTACTTTGACCTAACTTGGGCGGCATTGGATGAAAGACCAGCCCCCCAGGAAGATCGTGTAAATAACGTCAAGGAGACGAACATATCGCGACTCACAAATCACTTCACGAAGCGATTGTGACGTTGGATGCCCGGGATATCAGGCCCCCTCCCCCTCCCCGCTCTGCACAAATCCGCGCCCAGGATGTCTCAATTTACTCAGGACGTGTCCAGGAGGACCAAGGACTGATTTGGAGGCGTGCCTGGGAGCATCTCGCGACGCGTTGCATGTAGATATTTCCTGCCGTAAGGAGGCGGGGAGGAAATTATCTGGGTCCGACAGTGCCAGATCCACCACCGTGCCATCAGCACGTACAGTATGGGCCCGACCACAAGACAATTTCCACAAGAAACCCAACCCTGAGACCCCAGGACGTCTATCGATGTTTGGTGGGAACGTTACACCTTCCATGGCAACACCATCGAAACCCAAGAAATCCAGGGCACACTGGAGGCAAACAGGGTGCTTCTCGGCATGGGCCTCCACTGTAGTGCTGAGTCGCCAGGGGTTGCAACGTTCTTTAGGACCCAGGCTCCCTGTTTCCCATCCGCTGCTCGGATTTAATGGGAGCATTGGGGCTCATTGGAGCTCTTGGGAGCTCATGGTTGATGGAAATTCCTGGATTCTGGGGGCTCTAACGAACTCTTGGGAACTCCTGGGGGCTGCCGGGCACCTTCGAAACTGTCTCCAAAGACGCCTCAGATGCACAAAGATGGCCCGGGAGTGGTTCACGACAACTTCCAGACGAGGGAGCGCGATGTACCGTCGCTTGACTGGAACACTGGACCCCCCCCTCCAGGAAACCGGGGGGGGGTAAATCTCCCCCCCCCTCCCCGGGAACGGAGGGGGCGGGACAGGGGGCGGGGCCCTCGAACCGGCTCCCGTCGAATCCTGCCACTGGGGCTGGCTGGGTCCAACTCTCATGAAATCCTGCCAGGACTCGATCAAGCTCTAACTGCATCATGCAAAAAGCTAGATACAGTTTTGATGGATACCTACTGAGTCTGGATCCAGCTCTGCTAGAATCCTACAAATGCTGGTTCCAGCTCAAGTCAAATGCTGCTACTAGGGCTGGATCCAGCTCTACTAGAATCAGATCAAGCTCATTCCCGCTCTAGTACAATCTTAGGCTAGATCCAGCTTGGCAAGAATCCTACTCGGCCTAGATCCAGTTCTTCTAACATACTACAAAAGCTTGACCCAGCTCTGATCCGATCCTGCCACTGGGGCTGGATCCACCTCTAAAATTCGCCGGCCCAACGGGCCAGAGGCGTGCTAAGATCTCCGGTAACTGGTTAACAATTTTCTAGTTCGCGCGCGCGGGGCGGCCCCTGGGGGTCCCCGGACGAAAAGTACCCCGACCAGGTCCCGGCCGGTCCCCGGCCGGTCCCCGGCCGGGTCCCGGCCGGGTCCCGGCCGGGTCCCGGCCGGGTCCCGGCCGGGCCCCCCCGAGCGCTCCATGAGCGCACCAACAGGGCTCCGAGACGTCCCCGAGAGCCCCAAGAAAGGCCAAGAGGCCCCCAAGAGGCCCCCAAGATGGTACACGAGGGGTCCGACATGCCACAAGATCGCTCCAAGACGCCCAAGATAGCCCCCAGACGCCCCAAGAGGCCTCCTAGAGCACTCCCAGGAGGGCCCCCGGAGGCAAAATTCATTGTTTTTCCTTGGGTTTTTGAGAGATTTTGGAGCTTCCACCTTTTCGGCTTCCCGACGCCCCAAGACGGCCCAAGAGGCCCCCAAGATCGCCCCAAGAGGGCCCAAGAGGCCCCCAAGAGGGCCCCAAGATGGCCCAAGAGGGCTCGAAGACGGCCCAAGAAGCCTCCAAGACGGTCCAAGAGGGCCCCAAGAACGCCCCCAAAGGGGCCCCAGAGAGGGAACACGAAACAACATTTCGAGCCCTCGGCCCTAAGAAGCCCCTACGAGGCCCCAAGAGGCCCCTAAGAGGCCCCAAGAGGCCCCCACGAGGCCCTCAGGAGGCCCCCAAGAGTCCCCCAAGCGGCCCCAGGAGGCCCCCCAAATGCCCCCCCGAGCGCCCCAGGAGTCCCCCAAGCGGCCCCAGGAACCCCCAAAGCGCCGCATTGACACCAGGCCCTCGGGCAAACGGCAGACATGAGACTGTATGGGCCGGCGGAATGAGCGAAGCGATTAAATAATCCAATGAGGGCTCGATCCAACTTTGATCGAATCCTGCTATGGGCTGGATTCACTTATAATAAAATCGGACTGGTGCTCGATTCAACTTTAACCAGATCCTACCATGGCCTGGATGCAGCTCTAATAGAACCACATTGGGGCTCGATCCTGTCTTACTGCAACCCTACTCAGGCCCGGTCCAGCTTCACTCGAATCCTACAAAGGCTAGGTCGAACTCTACTATAACCCTATCAGAGCTGGATCCAGCTGCAATGGAATCCTCCCCGCGCCCTCCCACCCCCCCGTCTGAACCAAATGGGGGGGGGCCTCTCAACTTACTCTCCCTCCCTCGGTTCGAACCACACCCGGCGGGGTGGGGGGTGGTTCCGCCCCCCCCCGGTTCGGAGCGGGAGGCTGTTTTGCCCCCCCCTCCCCCCCCCGGTTCGAAACGGGGGGGGGGGCTGCCAGTAGCTGCAAGAAGTGCTCTTTCAGATGGTACCCAGAGGTCCCAAGATGGCCCAAGGGGACGACATGCCCCAAGAGATTCCCAAGAACACTCCCAAGAAGCAAACAGCGTGCCATTCCCTGAGAAAAAGCATCCCATTTCAGCAGATGTGCCTGTCAGGCTTTCGACGCGTCCACGACGGCCGAAGAGGCTCCTCATTTCGCACCAAGACATCCAAGGGGGCCCCAACACACCTCCAAATGACCCCAAGGCTGCCCAAGAGGCGCCCCAAATTACCCAGGACGAACATGACGGCAACATATACTTAAACTTTCGCATGTCCACCCGGATGTACAGGATCGGCGCAACACTCCCCTTGTGGGGCCTCCCGCGCCGCCCATGGCCCACTTCGCGCGCCAAAACTATATGTTGCTTTCAAAAACCGACGCGTTACCCCACCGGCCTCCTGGCTGAGGGCGAGACCAAAACGAAGACGGCCAAAACTCCAGGAATGGCGAACCATGTGCACAAAACTTTGAAACCCGGCCCTCGATCCTCGTGATTATCTCACAACGCGAAATCCCCATTGCGTGGACCCCGTACCCAGGGCCGGCTTTTCATCCTGCGCCGTCCTGTGACAATTTCGCGTTCTGCGGCCCAGTGATGCCCCCAAGAGGCCGAACACTTTCAAAACCTGTTATCGTCACTGCTTCTCTTCGCGAAACGAAGGGCTCTGAGGAGGGGCGCTGTCAATGCTCCGTCGCCCCGAAACAACCCTGCAAATCACCCGGGGGGTTGCCGCTCTCTGCTGGGCCGCCAGCCCCGCGACCGTGATGAAGCCGTAGCCCGCGCTCCTCCACTCCTGGCGGCACGTGGCGGCCAAGGGGCACGAGGAGGAGGAGGGGAGGAGCACTGACGCTTCGGGTTCCAGAGACCCAGCAGCTTGCCTGAGAAAAAGGGGGGGGAGGAAGAGGATGAGGAGGATAGGAGGCTAGGAGGAGGACGAGGAGGAGGAGGAGCAGGAGGGGAGGAGGAGGGGGATGAGGAAGGGGAGGAGCATGAGGAGGAGGTCCTGAGCCGCGCGCAGCTGCAGCGGCAGCGTCGGCGGCGGCGGCAGCGGCGGTAACAGCGGCGACGTGGCCGACGCGGGCGGGCGCGCGCCTCCGTCGCGACCAGCGTCCGCCGGGCAGCGGCAGCGCGTGGGGGCGTGGCCAGGCCTCCCCACGCCGTGGCAGGAGCCACGGCGGGCGGGTCCTGGGGCAAGCTTCGGCCGCCTGGGGCCCTTGCAGTCGGACCTGGGCCAGCAGAGCATCCCTCAAGAACAGCATGACCCTCCGTCGGCCGAGACGAGCAGAGCATCCAAAGGTGCCCTCTCCAGGACGCACGAGAAAATCCAACGACCACGAAGAACACTCGGGTACCCTCCCCGAGCCGATCTCGATCTTATGCCCAGGTCCGGCTGTACCTGTCCCCGCAGCCGTCAACAAGCAGCTCGGGATGAGAGACTGATCCCTTGGAGCGGTTCCTCTGGGCATGCACCGTGTGGTAAAAAGGCGCACGACGTCAGGGGTCTGGGCAGGCGGCAGGAAGGACCAATCTGGAAGGCAGGATGGGTGAGGATGGTCCGCACGTGCTATCAGTCAGAGAAGGGGGAACGGGGCGGCAAGGGATGGGCCCGTCCCGGTGCAGTCCCGGGCGTCGAACTTGAAGTCGTGAGGCAGGGGACGGGGAAAGGAGGAATAAGAAAGGGCGAGGGAGAAGCGAAGAACGGGATGACACGAACGAACGCTGGGTTCGCCAGAACGTCCGCAGTACTAATCCGCTGCTCGCTCGGTGGCGGCACTGCCACTCTCGGCCTCCTTCCCCGCCCGTCTCGCCCCCCTCGTGCACCTCGCACCTCTCTCCCTCGCCCAGCGCGTCCTTCGTCCTCGTCCCTGCCACACGCTCGATTGCAGGGCTACGCAGTCGGAGAGAGGGCCCCTCGGAGCCGCGAGGAAGGCGCAGATCCAAGCAAACTGCATCTCGGAGGTCTCCAAGATATCGAAATGGCCCCTGGATGTCCCCAGAGGCCCTGGGAGGCCTCTTGAGGCACAAAGAAAGCTAACAAAATCCAAGTCCCTCGAGGCGAGGGGGCTGCCCTCTGAGAATGCAAAGGGGCTTCGTGGAAAGATTCTGCCTCCTACGCAGCCTGCTCAGCAGGAGCCCCAGAGGCCCGAAAACAGCGAATTAGCTTGCTTCGAGCGACCCCCACCCGAGAACGCGAGGCGGAATACCCAGGAACCACCAGTTCACTTCGGGCCCTGGCGGCCGCGGTGTGCAGGGTGTGCGAGGCGGGTCGGGAACTCTTGCCTTTAAGTATGAAGCCTAAACCTGTCCAGGGAAGCGATTCCAGGACCCGCGTCCTCCAGACCCCGTTCCGCCATGCTGGCAAAATCAGCGGCGCACGCGTGCCGCTCCGTCACCACGCCCTCTATCCGCTCCGCGTCCGGGGACGGAACGTAGTCGACGGGCTTCGCCGACGCCTGCCAAGGCGCGCCACACGGGCGCCGCGCCTGCCGCGCTTCTGGTGGGGCCAGCTGCAGGCCTCTGCCGCAACCATTGAAGGCAACTACGCTGGCAGCGGGAGCTAACGGTGGTCTCTCAAAGTGCGCCTGCTGCTCCTAATGCAGCAACCATCACCACTGCCACTGCGACTACCACTACCACTACCACTACCACTGGTACTACTACGACTACAACGGCTACTACGGCTACTACTACTACTACTACTACTACTACTACTACTACTACTACTACTACAGCTACTACTACTACTACTACTCCTACTCCTACTACTACTACTACAACTACTCCTACCATTACTACTCCTACTACTCCTACTCCTACTCCTACTACTACTACTACTACTACTACTACTACTACTACTACTACTACTACTACTACTACTACTACTATTACTACTACTACTACTACTACTACTACTACTACTACTACTACTACTACTACTACTACTACTACTACTACTACTGACTACTACTACTAACTACTACTACTGATCGTAGTAGTTGCAGTAGTAGTAGTAGTAGTAGTAGTAGTAGTAGTAGTAGTAGTAGTAGTAGTAGTAGTAGTAGTAGTGGTAGTACTACTACTACTACTACTACTACTACTACTACTACTACCTACCTACTACCTACCTACCTACTACCTACCTACTACTACTACTACTACTACTACTACTACTACTACTACTACTACTACTACTACTACTACTACTACTACTACTACTACTACTACTACTACTACTACTACTACTACTACTACTACTACTACTACTACTACCACTACGTACTACTACATCTACAACTACGACAACGACGACTACTACTACTATTACTACTACTACTACTACTACAACTACTACTACTACTACTACTCCTACTACTACTACTGCTACTACTACTACTACTACTGCTACTACTACTACTACTACTGTTACTGCTACTACAAGTCATACGACGACTACACATATAGCTACCACTCGTACCACTACCACCACCACGACTAATACTAAACTGCCCAGACTTCAACCACTACTGCCACTACTGGTACCACGATTCGTAGAAACAGTGGACATAATACGGATACTACACTACTACTACAACTACGACTACAACTACTACTACCACGCCAACTACTCTAATAGTACCACAACTACTGCGACTAAGGCTACTCCTCAAATTACTACTACTGGTACTGCAACTACTACTACTACTACCACTACTACTACGAAACCACATGATACTACTGCTGCTGATACGGGTACTACAACGACGACTTCTATTACTACTGCTACTACTACTACTACTACTACTACTACCACCACCCGTAATGCAACTACTACTTCTGCTACTACTACTACTACTACTACTACTACTACGATTATTACTACTACGGTTCCTCCTCCTCCTCCTCCTCCTCCCCCTCCGACTACTACTACTACTACTACTACTACTACGACTACGGCTACTACTACTACTACTACTACTACTACTACTGCGACTACGACTGCTACTACTACTACTACTACTACTGCTACTACTACTACTACTACTGACGCTTACTAATGCGACTGCAGCTACTACGATTACCACCACTACTACTACTACTACTACTACGACTACTACAACTACTACTCCTAGTACTACGGCTACTACTACTAGTACACCTCCGACTATTGCGAGGCCTACCACTAATGCGACTGCTACTGCTACGACTACGGCTACGAGTACGGGTACGAGTACGACTACGACTACTACTGTGTTGCTACTACTACTACTACTACTACTGCTACTACTACTACTACTACTACTACTACTACTGCTACTACTACTACTACTACTACTACTACTCCTGCTACTACTACTACTACTACTACTATGGCTACTGCTACTACTACTAGTACTGCTGCTACCGCTGCTCGTGCTACAGCTGCTGCGGCTACTATTTCTCCTCCCCCTCCTCCTCCCCCACCTCCACCTCCTACTACTACTACTACGACTACTACTACGACTACCATTGCTACCACTTCTAAGGCTACTGCTATTACTACGAATACTACTGCTAGTACTGCTACGATTCCTACTGCTAGTACTACTGCTACTACTAGTACTACTACTACTACTACTGCTACTACTACTACTGCTGCTACTACTACTACTACGATTGCTACTGTTACTACTACTACTACTACTACTACTACTACTACTACTACGGCTACTACTACGACTACGACTGCTACGGCTACTGCACCTTCGACTACGGCTACGGGTGCGAGTGCTACTACTACGAAGGCGACTACTACTACAACTAATATTACGTCTACTACTACCATTATTTCTACGCCTGCTACGTTTCCTACGCCTACGGCAACAACTACTACTACTACCGCCACTACTGCTACTTAGACTACTAGTACCGCTACCACTACTACTACTACTACTACTATTACTATTACGACTACTACTACTATTACTACTACTACTGCTACTACTACTACTGCTCAACAACTACTACTGCTACTACCACTAAGACTACTACTACTGTTGCTACTGCTACTACTGCTACTACTACTACTACTGATTACTACTACTACTACTACTACTACTACTACTACTACTACTACGACTACTACGACTACGACTACTACGACTACTACTACTACTACTACTACTACTACAACGACTACTACTAATACTACTACGACTACTACTCATACGACTACTCCTGCTACTACTACGGCTACGACGCCTACTACTACTACTACTGCTACTACTACTGTCACTGCTAAGTTATGCCATTCAAACTACTCTTTCTTCCACGGCGACGATGGCGTCGACGAAGGCGGTTGCTGCTAGTGTCACTGATACTACTACTACTACTACTACTACTACTACTACTACTACTACTACTACTACTACTGCTACTACTATCACGACTACTACCACACTACTACTACTACTACTACTACTACTACTACTACTACTCCTGCTACTACTACTACTACTACTGCTACTACTACTACTACTACTACTACTACTACTATGGCTACTGCTACTACCGCTGCTACTACTACTAGTGCTAGTACTGCTACTACTATCTCTACTACGACAACTACTACTCTCTACTACGACAACTACTATTACTACTACTACTACTACTACAACTACTACTACTACTTCTACTACTACCACGACTACTACTACTACTGCTCCTACCACTACTCTACTACTACTACTACTACTACTACTGCGACTACTAATGGTACTACTACTACTACTGCTGCTGCTACTACTACTATCACTACTACTACTACTACTACTACTACTACTACTACTACTGCTACTGCTACTGCAACTGCTACTACTACTACTACTACTACTACTGCTGCTGCTACTACTACTACTACTACTACTACTGGCGGTCTCGTGCACCACATCACCACGGCTCAACCACCTAGGGAGGAGCGTCCTTGTGGCCGCCTCATTGCCAGTATGTAGCGCGCACCTCTTCTGGGTGAAAGGGCGGGTCTGACATGCTTGCAACGGCAGGCGCTTGTACTGTGGGCAGCTGGTCCAATGGCCCAGAGTGAAGCGCCAACAACGGTACAGCAGCACACGGGGCGACCCCAGTACCGCCACCCAGGCCAACTAGCGCGAGAAGACGCGAGACGAGGCCTGGATGGCAAGCCAAGGGCGGGTCTGACGTGCATGCAGCAGCAGGCGCCTGGCCGAGGGCAGCTGGTCCCTACGGCAAAAAGTAAGGCGCTGGCGGCGGCGTAGCAGCGCACGGGGCGACCCCAGTACCGCCATCAAGGCCTACTAGCGCAAGAGGGCGCGAGGGGGGGCCAGGATGGCAGGCCAAAATGGCCAGGCGCCCGACGGTGACGCTGCAATACACGGGGCTGCCCCAGCACCGCCAGCGGGGCCAACGAGCGCAAGTGAACGTGAGGAGGCCGGGATGGCAAGCCAGTTGGCGAGCCAAAGTGGCTGGGCGCACAGGTGGTCACGCGCCGAGCCGAGGCAAAAGCCACAGGTGCAGCCACGCGAGGGGGGTGCCACTGTGGGCACGCCGCACTACAGAAAGTGGCTAGCAAGACAACTTGGCATGGACTCACGTGGCCTGTCGAGGCCCTGGAACCTGCTGGGCGTTATCATTCAGGCCTGCTGGCCTGCTCCCTGCGCAATGGCCGCAAAGACCTGCGACGGCAGCGCCTGCGCTTCCCCGCCGAGGTCGCCGCTGCCCCCCGCCTGCCCTGAGGGCCCAAAGATCTGGCGCTCAAGGTCTTCACCGAGGGCCACGTTCAGGGCTGCCGCATTTGGGATCTGCTGCGGGAGCGGGCCCGTCTGCAGTGGCGGGTGCGTCGGCGGCGGCGGCGCCTCAGGGGGCGCCGTCGGCGGCGGCGGCGGTGGGGCCATGATGGCCGCGGCCTCTGGCGGGGCCCCGACTGGCGGTGGTGGCGGGTCCTGGCTGTCGCGGGCCCCGCTCGCTGGGGGGGCGCTGGCGGTGCGAGCGGGGGTGGCGCGCGGGGCGACCCCTGTGACGCCCCCGCCGCCCGAGAGGCTGCCCTCCCGAAGCTTGCGGCGGCGCTCGTAGAGCGCCAGCTCCCTGTGCGCCAGCTCCAAGCGCCCCCTCTTGGCTTTGTTCCGCGCCTTCTTGCTGTAGCCCGCCCACTCTGGGTCGTTCAGTCCCCGGGCGACCTGCGCGTAGAGGTCGGTCCACTCGAACTTGGTCAGGCTCTCCCAGGTGAGCCCCTCCATCAGCACATAGTGGCCCTCCCGCTGAGACTGGTGTGGAGCGTAGCGCTTGAAGACGGCGCCCGCCGCCAGTGGCTCGACCTTGGGCAGGTACCTCAGGAGGTCCACCGCGTTGACCACTGAGATCCCCTCCTTCTTGAGCTTGTCGTAGCGCAGCAGGGCCTTCAAGTCGCGGATGTCCTCCTCGGGATGATCCGCGTGCATGTAGT